CTCAGCCATTTATGTGCCAATTATACCTTAATGAAGTGGTTTTTAAAGACGTTTGACCAAAAGTGTATATGGAATACAGAAGCTTACCTCACTGCTGGAAAATAAAGAATAGCCAATCCTAAGTAGAGAGTTTGAGATCAGAAATTCCTCCATGGAATAATGCACACATGTTGTTAGAGAAGTTCCTCCCACAGATGGAGGTCTTTAAGATAAAGAAAGATGCAGGGGGAAACACCAACAGAGGTCCAGGGCCCTGCATTTGAGTCTTGATCTATCATTCATTCTCACTGTGCCCAGAGAGGTGTATTGCTCCTTCTTTGGAAAATAAACATAAAATTACCACTCGGACATAGAATAAAGTCTAGAAAAAGAAAATGAGGGAAGGTTTGTAAAACAACTTGCTAAGGCGTTATCATTTTAAATTAATATTTAATTAATATTTAATCTAATTTAACTCAATATAATTTTTATCTTGAAGCCATGCTTGCAGACCCGGCAAACCCTTAGTCTAGAGAAGGCCTACAGGTTCTGACAACTCCAAGCATTCAGATAAATAAAGAGGCCCAGCACATAACTCTTCTCCCTTCACATGATGTCATATGGGGTCCTGTTGGGATCTCACAGGTTGATGCAAGGGAGTCAGGAGGGAATTATAGAAACATGAAGCTCTCAGGAGACATCCTACAGGAAGGCACCTACTGCTACCCTCCCCATTTTCCCGTGAAGCAATTAGACAAAGCTGGGTAGGTCGAGTATGCATGCATAATTTTTGTATTGCTTGTTGTTACTTTCACATTTTAAGATTATTGCATAATTTACAAACAATAAGACCCCCAGTGTAATAATAATTAACTACTAGAATATCATAAATATGTGATTATATGTTAATGTGATATTAGAAATAATAATCAAAATAAAAATTCTAAGAGTTTGATCAAATGTGTATAGTGAGGTCACCACTACCACAACCAAGATATTATAGGACACTTCTCTCACCTAAGCAAAACCCCAAGAGTCTTTTTAATGGACCTCTTCTTCCACATTCTTCTCCTGGAAACCACTCAACTTTTTCTTTTTCTTTTTCTTTTTTTTTTTTTTTTTTTTTTTTGGTCCATATAATTTGACCTTTGGAAGAAACCTAGCTTTTTTCACTTAGAATGCATTTAAGATCTTCAATATTATTACCTTTGTCAATGGTGGAATCTCTTACTGCAGGATAGCATTTCATTTTAAGGATGTTACAGAGTGTTTATCCATTCTTCACTTGAGGTACATTATGTCAGTTCCACTGTTTGGAGATTATAAATAAAGTTTCTGCAGCTTTATGCATGTCTAAAGTTTTTAAGTTGACACATAATTGTATATATGTGTGGGTTCAATGTGATAATTTGATAAATGTATACAATATGTAATGAGCAAATCAAGGTAGTTAGCTTTTCCATTTTTTAAAAAATACTTTTCATTTCTCTGTGTTTTTGGGAGCCTTAGAACCTCCCTTCCAATGAGCATAGGTATTATTTTACTGGGGTAAATCAATGTGAGAACAATTGCATTTAGTTGTAGAGCAAATGCAAATTTAATTGAAAAGAAACTGCCCAAATCATTTTTCTAAAGATGCTGTATCACTTTGTTTTCACTTGCAGAGCATTGCCAGTTTCTTCACATCTCCATCAGCATTTGGTATTTTAAGATTATTTTAAATTTAATTTAGTTTTTATTTTTACTTCTTCTTTTGCAGAAATGTATCAAGAAATATCCTCAGCAAAAATTATTTTCAGAATCCTTGTTTGTCTTATTACTAGATTTGGGGCCTGGGATTTTCTTTTTCCAATACCAGGAACAGATCCTTTCTGTTCTCCATATAATCACCTCTAAATCATACTTACAAAGAGACCCATCACACCTTGCTCACCTGGACAAGTTTATTGGTTGCAAATTTGGTTTTATGTACACAGATGGCTTGTCCTCATATTCAGCTATGTGACGTAACCCCTTCAAACATAATATTCTCATTTGCAAAAAGAAGATAATAATATAGTGTAACCTTCACACAATCAAGGAGACTATAAGACGATATATAGAGAAAATAGAGCAGTTTTTGGCACATAGAAAGTATTTCATTAAGATTAAGTTTTATTATTTTATTACTTAGATATAAAGTTACCATAGTATGAGTCACAAAATATTGCTCAAACATCCCATTTGCTTCTCTTTGTGCACCTATTCCACTACCGTTCAAAAGAGACATGTGCTAGTTATAGGCAATGGATTGTGGAAGAACTGGCATGTGCTATTTCTGGGAGGATTGAAGCATAGGCACAATATTCCTATTGCCTCTGCCATAGAGAAGGAGGCTTAATGTTCCAGCAGATACTGATGGGCATATGGTGAAGATTTTATTTGCTACCATCTTTCAGAGACCATGAGTAAATAGTCCTCCCCTTCCCAAGACAATCTGTGTGATAGACATAGATTCATATGTGTGAATTAAAATACAACACACCAGGTAACTTAAATAACAGAAACTTATTTTTGCATAGTTCTGAAGATTTGTAATTCCGAGATCAAGGAACAAGCCAAATCTGTTCCTGATGAAGTTTCTTACTGGCCTGTTGATGACACTTTCTGGTACCCTCCCATGGTGGAGCTCTGGTGTCTGGTCCTCTTCTTGTAAGACACCAACACCACTGGATTAGAGTCCTATTATGCCCTCATTAACCTTATTTCTTTTTTACCCTGTCATGAAATACAGATGTTGTTAAACACCTGTAAGCATACTAACACATGCACAATGGGAGTTTCAACATGAGAGAAGAAAGAAAAAGAATATTTTAAAAAATGGAGCCAAATCTTTCTCATTTTTGAAAATATATATATATATATATATATATATATATATATAGAGAGAGAGAGAGAGAGAGAGAGAGAGAGAGAGAGAAATTAAAAAACAACTTCTACACAACCAATAGTTTAAAGAAGAATTATTTTTAATGAAATAGAAAATAATTCAAGACAAAGGAAATGCAAACATAACATACCAAAATCTATGGCACTCAGAAAAAGCAGTGTTCCTAGAAAAATTTGGGGCTATAATTTTTTTATATAAAAATAAATAAATAAATCAATAAAATAGCTTTACACTTCAGAAACTAGAAAAAAAAAAGAAATGCAAAGTAAATCCACAGCTAAAAGAAAGGAAATCATAAAAGTTTAGAGTGAAGGCAAATGAAATGGACAATAGACTAACAATAAAGAAATCAGGGGCTGGGGCTGTCACTCAGTGGTAGAGAGCTTGCCCAGCATGTGTGAGGCACTGGGTTCAAACCTCAGCACTGCATACAACAAAAAAAATAATTAATTAATTAAAAGTCCAATAACAGCTAAAAAAAAAATTAAAGAAATCAGTAACCAAAAGCTGATTCTTTGAAAAGATCAACAAAAATGATTCCACAGATCAATCATGGTAGAAAAAGAGGAATACACAAAGTCAAAAAACTAAGAAGAAGAAATAAAAATGAGGATATCACTACCAACCTTATAGAAAAATTTTAAAAGATTTTAATAAAATATAAACTAAATGTACAGCAGCAAATTGGGTAAACCCAGATTAAAAAACAGAAATTCTTAGAAATACACAAACTACAAATAATAAATCAAGAACAGTACTAAGTCTGAATGGCCATTTAATAAGAGAAGAAATTGAATCAATAATAAATAATCTCTCAATAAGTGAAAGCACAGGATAAGAAGGCTCAATGGGTGAATTCTAAAACCATTTAAATGAGAATTAACACCAATTTTTCTTAAATTCTTCCCCAAAAAGAATAGAAGGCACTTAAGAAACACGTCCTGAATCATTCTATGAGATCCGCAGTACCGGATGCTGGGATGAGAAAAAAACAATACAAAGAGTCATCAGGAAAATGCAAGTTAAAACTACAACAGAGAGAGAAGGGGTAGGGGGTGGAGGGTACCAATATCACTCTGAAGAGCATCCGTCCAATGATGTAACTTCCTTCTACAAGGCCTTGGGTCCTAAAGGTTCAATCATCTCCCAACAGTGTCATCGGCTGAGAATAAAGTCTTCAACACATGATCCTTCGGGGGACTTTAAATATCCAAACCATAATGATAACCAAAATATGTAAGGAACTCCTACAACAGTTAGGACCTCGCACCTTTTAGAATGCCGTACTTCAAGAAGACAAAAAGACAACAAGTGTTGGAGAGGACACAGAGAAAAGGGAACTCCTGAATACCATGGATGGGAGGTAACTTTGTACAGCCATTACAGAAAACAGTATAAGGATCCTCAAAAAGTTAAAAACATAACTACCATATTATGCAGCAATAGCAATATGGGGTACATATCCAAAGGAAATCAAATCAGTCCATTGAAGTGAAATCCACATGTTCACGTTTATTGCTGGACTATTCACAATAACTAAGATATGAAATCAATCTAGATCTCCATCAATGGGTGAATGGACTAAAAATGTGTTTCACATAAACAATGGGATATTATTCAGCTGTAAAGAATATAATCCTGTAATTTACTGCAAAATAAATGGAATTGGAAGAATTTATCTCAAGTGAAATAAGCCAGATATAGAAAGACAAGTACCACGTTTTTTTCTTACATTTAAATTTTTTTTAAAAAAAATCAGAAGTTTACCTGATACTAGATAGTGAAAATAGTGATTACTGGAGGAAAGGAGGTGGGGAGGGAATGAATGAAGGGAGGCTGCATTTGGTCACTGCGTGCTACATGCATGTATTTGAAATGTCACAAAGAATCCCATTGATGTATACAATTAATGCATGGTCATAAAAAATTTTAAATGCCATCAATAAGTTTTATGAAAAGCAAAACCCAAAGTATCTCATGTTCTCCCTGACCCATTTTTATTCAGGTATAAAATGTCTGGATGTGTTTTCTTTTTTTACTAAATGATAAATTTTTCAAGTGATAAGTATATGGCTTTAGGACCCAAGTTGGTATTTAAAATACGAATGAAGATGATCCAAGAGACGTGAGATTAGTTATATGCACCCTACAACATTAAAATCCCATTCCTAAAGATGATGTGGCCCTCTGGAAAATCTTCTGGAACGCACTTTTCACCTCCTTGTTCCTCAGGCTGTAGACCACAGGGTTCAGCATAGGGATGATGATCACATAGAAAACGGATGCCATTTTGTCTGTGTCCATGGAATGACTGGAGGTGGGTTGGAAATACATGAAGATGACCGTCCCGTAAAATATGGAGACTGCAGTGAGGTGAGAAGCACAGGTAGACAGACCTTTCGCCGAGTGCATCTTCCAGACGGTCATAAATATAAGCAGGTAGGAAATCAGTATAACCAGGAGAGCACAGATGACATTGACACTTGAAGCCACAATCAGAACCATCTCACTAATGTGTTTATCGGAACAGGAGAGAATCATGACTGCTGGGAGGTCACAGAAGAAATGGTGGACCACGTTGGACTGACAGTAGGAGAGCCCGAATGTGTTCAGAGTGTGGACGGAGGCGTTCAGGAAACCACAGAGGTAGGAGCCCAGGACCAGACGCACACACACACTTTTGGTCATGATGGTGGTGTAGCGTAAGGGTTTGCACACTGCTACATAGCGGTCGTAAGCCATCAAGGCCAAGATGATATTTTCCAGAGAAGCAAAGGCTGTGAAGAAGAACATCTGCACGGCACATGCGTTGTAAGAGATGGCCTTGACTTCCTCAAGGAACCCAGCCATCACTTTGGGCGTGACAGATGAAGAATACCCAAAGTCCACCAAAGAAAAGTTGCTGAGGAAAAAGTACATGGGGGTGTGGAGGCGAGTGTCCGAGAGAATCAACAGGACCATCCCCAGGTTTCCCAAAACAGTGACGAGGTAGACGAGGCTGAACAAGACAAAGAGGGGGACCTGTAGTTCTGGAGCGTTGGTTAGACCCTCCAGGATGAACGCCTTCACTTCTGTGTGGTTAAGCATGGTGAGTCAAAATTCTCTGTACTAAGGAAGAAAGGAACAGTGAGTGGTCAAGGGAAGAGGAATAGCACTAAAACACATAAATTCTGTTATTTCATCCTTTTCTTTCTTCTTCGTGGTTTGCTGATCTAAAGCAAAGACTGGGACCAAAAAAAAACTAAGGGACAGATAATCTATATAGTGACACATTGTTGAAGCTAAAGTATCCTTGCAGATCACATGATCCGAATCACACCAGTGTGAATGAACAAACTCAGGTCCAGGAAGATGATATATTTGCCTAAAGTCACACAGTTGCAAAAAATACATCTCCCAAATCATATCACCTGAGTCTATTAAGAGTTTGCATCCTTATAATACACACTTACATTTCACCTGGCTTAAATGTGGTTAACCTTCTCAACAAACCTACAAAAGGCTTGTGTTCATTTACAGGCATATCTACCGGCAAAGCCAAGCCTTCCATTTGCTCAGACTGATTCCCAAAAACTCTATGCTTAAAAGAAGTTTAATGGGATTCAATTCAGCTCTATTCATATTTATTCATGCATCCATTAGACCAAAGAGTAAAGTAACTGAGAGATGCATATAAAATAGAGTGTTACAGCAGCTTTGTGAGAGACAAGTGCCATCATCAAGCAATTTTGAAGAGATCTGGTGTCCTGGTAGGGTTTAGCCTCTGCAAAGAGATGCACGTGAAATTAAATAGTAGCTTCACCCTACTCCCTACCTGGGAGACATGGTTCCTGACTTCTTTAGTACTGGTTTTCTCTATGCTTTAAAATATTTATTTTTTAATTGTAGGTGGACACAATACCTTTATTTTTTTAAGGTGGTGCTGAGGATCAAACCCAGTGCCTCACACACACTAGGCAAGTGCTCTACCTCTGAGCCACAACCCAACCCCACTATTTTCTCTATTTATAAGACAAAAACAATTAAAAAACGAGACCTATCAAAGGGATTGCTGTAACAGTTAAATTAGATAATACATTTTCACAAAAGAGCACAACATAAGTGTCCAGCACAGTCCTGATGAGTATTTCCTGTGAAGTGAGGCTTGGGCTGGGAGGATGGTCTCCATCTTAGCCTGGGAAAGCTGAGTGCTTCCTCTGGAGCTTCCAACTTGTGGTTGAGTCTGGGAGGCTCACTCTTGAATTTGCTTTTCCTCATTTGCTGAGTGCACTGTCCTTTCTGTGCCCTCCAGTGTTTCTTCCTCTCTAACAACCCTTTGTGGGAGGATACCAGGACATTCAGCCTATCTTCTGCTTAAATTTACTTCCAATTCACAGATAAAGGAGTTTCTTTATCTAAAACCCATTCTCACCCATATGATTCTCATCCATCAGCTGAATTATGGAGATGAGCATGGAAAATTCACAGGATCATGGGGTTCCATGTTTATATATCTTAAATTTGATTTTGGAGACTTTAGTATGACCTCTGTTCTCTGGTAACAACTTCTCTCTTCAGCCTTCTGGCTATTTTGCAAAATTTATTTGGCTTCGCTCTCCGCCACAGGCATTTGTGTTTACAGATTTCTAACATACAAGATAATACAACCTAAAACGCTTCATCGCATATGCTATGGTCTATGAACACTAACAAGAGAATTGTAGATTCAAATATAGATTTCACTTAATCGTCACAACCACAAAGGTAACGCTCCTATTGATATTTACAGATAAGAAAGCTCAGAGTCTTAAAAGTCAACTTATTTACTAAAACCATTTGTTGAATATGAAATAGATTCAGAGTTCCCCTGCAGGGTTGAATGATTCTACAAGATGTACTCTGAACAGCTTCTCGACCAACTTTTCTAGATGTAATGATAAAAAAAAAAAGGTAAGATTATGCAGTAAGACCCTTGAAATGGAGTACGACTCTAAATAATTTCACAAGGTCCTTTCTGGAGTGGAAAGCAGTTTCAGTTCAAGCTGTTCTTCTTTGCTTCCTCCACAATGACAAAGGAAGAGAGTACACAGGATGAAATCGCCGCCTACGCAGTCACAGCATCATCTGCCTTACGATCTCTCCCATCTTCAAGGATGTCGCCTCCTGGTTCATAAGCATCCCTGAAATTCCTACTTGGAGAAATATTTTGCTATTGGGACTCTAGCCTGTTTCCCCCCCCCAAAAAAAAGAAAAAAAATGTTCATGACATCCTTTTCTAAGCTCATGTAATTCATAATATCAAGTTCTTTATTGCTTTTACATATATTACAATTCTCACCAAAAAAAAAATAAAAGTATGGAAAATAAAAGCTTACTTTGCTCCTGAAATAAAAGTGCTGGAACTCCTACACTTTCTGGAATCTGAACCTCTGCCAGGGAAGAGTGTATACAATTCCTTTAGAAAAAGCTCTTTCTTTTAGGGGACCGGTCAAAAAAGCACTCTTGCAATTGTCACTTACTTTATTCCAACATCAGTTTCTTTATTTGTGATGTCATCAGCGTAGCTGGGCAGGTGGCAGAAATGTGTCTGTAAATAGCAAATAAAAGAAAACGGATAAAACAACTCGGTGGTGGGTTACAATTTTAACCACATGCAATATAATTTTTACCTTGGGATGTTTTCCCGGTAATGATTGTAGACTCACAGAAAATCCTGCTCGGAGAAGGCCGCCCTGTGTACTAACGATAATTCCCATTCAGAAGAGGGAATAAGTGACCACAGTGGCTCTGCTCCTAGTTCTACTAAAAAGATGTCAAAAGGAAGGATGGGGTTGGGAGTTTAGAGGCCAATGTATGGGACCCAGGAGACATATGAAGATCTCCGGGGAACAGGTCCCTTGTGAAAGCAGCCCCAGACATTACTCCACTTATGTAAAGAAGCCCAATTAAACTGCCTGTGGCACTCAGCTTGACCTATTGAGTAAGCACACAAATGTATCTGTGGGTTTGTTTTGGTTTAATTGGGGCATAATTTAATTGTGTACAGTAAAAATTCTGCATTTGAGGGTACAGTTCTGAGTTTGGACAAATGTGTGTATATGATCATGTCCCCACTGCTACATTCAAAATAAAGAACAGTCCCATCAGTCTAAAAAAATTCTTTATTCTTTCATAATCCAACCATCCTGTCACCATTAGCTTCTAGAATCTACTGGTTTTGTCCATATAGATCTTTCCTTTGCAAGAGAGAGAGAGAAAAAAAATCAGATAAATAGAATATACAATGGAATACAACCTCTTGAGTCTAGCTTCTTTCCCCTAGTAAAATGTATAAGTGAGTATCTATTTGTTTCATATATAGGTGGTTTGTTCCTTTTCCTCGTCGAGTAGAATTATATAGATCTAGGCAGATTTTTAATGCTAGCTTTTATTAATTATAATTAACACTACACAGAAAAATTAATGCAATCAATCAACAAATATATGAAGAAATATTCAACATCTCTGGCAATTAGAGAAATGCAAATCACACCATCAGAAAGGCAGCTATCAAGAATACAAACAACAATAAGTGTTGTTGAGGATGTGGGGGAAAAGTCCCACATTGCTGGTGGGACTGCAAATTGGTGCAACCACTATGGGAAGTCATACGGAGATTCCTCAGAAAACTTGGAATAGAACTACCATTTGACCCAGCTATTCCCACTTCTTGTTTATACCCAAAGGACTTACAATCAGCATACTACAATGATGGAGCCACATCAATATAGGTGGCATCAAATGTATAGTGGCTCAATTCACAAGAGCTAAATTATGGAACCAACCTAGATGTCTTTCAACTGATAAATGGATAAAGAAAATGTGGTATACACACACAATTGAATATTAAGTCAGCCTTAAAGAAGGGTGAAATGATAGCATTTGCAGATAAATGGATAGAGCTGGAAAATAGCATTCTTAGTGAAATAAATCAATCTCTCAAAACCAAAGGCCAAATGTTTTCTCTGATGTCTGGATTCTGATCCATAATGGGAAGGGGGGCTAGGGAAGAATGGAGGAACTTTGGATTGAGCAGAGGGGAGTGAGGGGGAGGAAGGGGTTGGGGTTGGGAAGCATGGTGGAATGAGACAAACATTATTACCCTAGGTACATGACTGATTGCAGGACTGATGTGACTCTACAGAGTGTACAGCCAGAGGAATAAGAAGTTGTGGTGCATTTGTGTATACAATGTGCTAAAATGCATTCTGCTGTCATGTATAAATAATTAGAACAAATGAAAAAAAAGAAGACAAAAAAAAACAATTAAATCTGCTATGAACATCAGGTTTGTATTTGAACATTGGTTTACATTTTACTAGAGAAATTACACTGAAGTGGGGTTGTGGGCTGACATGGTAAGTTTATGTTTAATATTATAAAACACTGCAAATACTATTTTTAAAGAGGTACCATTTTACATTCCACTGATAATGCATGATAATTTTAATTCCTTTATATCTTTGCTAACCTTTAGCACTATCTTCCGGGGTAGAGTAAGTATATTCCTGACAGAATTAAGATTCTGGGTGAAATATCTTCAGGCTTCAAGGAATTTGTGCTGCTTAAGGAACTTCCATTGATATTAGTGGAACATTAGGAAAGGTTAAATCACAGATGCTTAAGGCATGGTACTCTGGGCAAAGTGGAAGAGGACAAAATTTTATATCTGTGGAGTGGTATAGGCGAGTTGGTATTGCAAAGCTCTGAAATATTCAAGAAATTGCATCATCGTATCACAGGGATATCTGTATCCCATGTTTATTCACAATAGGTAAGTTATGGGATTAACCTTGATGCTCATCAATGGATGAATGAATTTTAAAGAGCTTCTATATATGCACGTGGAATACTATTCAGCCATAAAAATAATGACACCCTATTGTTTTGTGCAAAATAGATGAAACTAGAGCTCATCATGTTAAATGAAATAAGTCTGAAATGGGAAGACAAATACTTCATGTTTTATATGGATTCTATATGGATGTTTTAAAAAGTCAACCAGAGCAGGGCACAACAGCTCATGCCTGTAATCCTAACAGCTCAGGAGACTGAGACAGGAGAATCACAAGTTCAAAATCAGTCTCAGCAAGGGCGAGGCACTAAGCAACTCAGTGAGACCCTCTCTCTAATAAAATACAAAATAAATGCCCCTGAGTTTAATCCCTGGTACCCACCCCCAAAGAAAACAGTCAACCAGAATATGTAATAGTGATCACCAGAGATTGAGACAGGAGTAGGAAGGATAGGATAATGAACTAGGGTACTTGGCAGTAGAAAAAGTTAAGTAATGAAGTGTTTGGGATACTTCATGTCTTCTCTCAACTGCTCATGGAAAAATATATAAAGAGATAAATATTTAAAGATGGAATTTATAATGAAAAGGGAATTAGAATGTAGAGATTTTGGAAAGTCTCTGACTATTCATGTAAAGAATTTTAAAAGCATGCTTAGGAAGAAATCAAGAGTGTAGCCCAGAGACGATTTGAGAGGGAGATTAGTATTGCCAGGAGGAAGTCAGATGCCATTCAGCAAGGTAATGGGACCTTGATCCTGAAAACATTTTTAAACTCATGGAGGCTACCACACCCATCACAGACCTACAGTGCCAAGACCTTTGGGGCACAACTGTTTTGAGGCAGGTCAACCATGCTCACATAACCTTGCTGCCCAGGAAGATCTGAAAAGTGTCTGTCTCCATATTCTGTAGATGCACTCTTTGGCTGCCCCAGCTGTGGCTCAGGCAGGACCAGACGCAATTCAGGACCCTGCTCCTAGGAGTAAAAAGCAGTGACGGTCATCAGCATCCATGTGGTGCAAATTCTGCAAGAACACAGAGTGCATGTGCATGAGCTGTGAAGGCACCGCTACCTCCACTTTGATTTCAAAGACCATCACTTGCCACAGAGGCAGGGCAGCTGCAGAGGCCCTGTCAGGGCTACCATGACTCAGCAGAACCACGGTGGCAGGTCTACCCCCAACGTTCCAGACCCATACGGCCAAGAGTGCAAATATAGCCTGGGAGAGTCACTGGTGT